CTCTCGAATCTAAAATTATTATTTGAAATCTATTCAGTACTTGATGCCATTTTAATAAATATTAATCCATGTAAAATATTTTGTTCAGCACAATTAATACAATGTGGCAGACAATCAATTGACTTGTAGGGAGTCGAATCAATCAAAGAGTCTCGTGTTCTGAATGGCGGCAGCCGGCCACAGCCGTCATCCCTAGATTCGCAAATTAGTCCGCCCGAGCAACCGGTCGAATGGCTCAGAGCGTGTGGTTGCGCTTCGTAGCTGCTCGTGACTTGGGGATTCGGAGGGGTTCGGATCCTCCGTCGTGCGCATTGTTTGCAAATGCCATTCTGATCCATATCAGAGGCGTTGACATGCACTGTGTGCTTCTGAGCCAATTCGGCCGGTTCTTAATAGTATCCGCCCCCCGTTGGTTCCTGGTAAGGGAACCGGGGGGCAAACAACCATAGGGGTTTTGAATTCGCTGAGAACATATCTGTACGTGAAACAATAGAACGTGTACTTGTGTGTACAAATTGTTTGCCCTTAGGCTGCAAAGAGGACAATAAAGTGCTGAACAAAATCACTGAAGCACGATTGTAGGAGTTCGAGTATTATGGCACAAGCCTATCAATATCAGGTTAAAAGACTAAAAGGAAAATGCAAATCAAAGCCCGTTTTTACCGTGGTCTAAATACACATCAGAGGTGAATGTTTCTCAGATCTCAGAACGGACGTGGCACTGCAGAGTCGATGGTCCAAAAGAGATCGATAGCAAGGGGTCAATGCATTGGCTCCACGTTGGGAGAAAAAAGTTTGAATATTAGAACAAAGTGTTACATTTCTCGATAGCAGTTATTACATCCGTTATGGCGATGTGTAGCTTTCAATTTGTCCCATTAAATTCCGATCTCACAAGGTTCAACTGAAAATAAACATGCACGAATAATTCTGAAATGTTAGTGATAACCATATCATGACAAACTAATGAGCGTTTGTAAGAACCAGTGAGCTGCTCGGTTGTACACATCGCTTATGTCTTCCATACACACCCGTAGACAATAAAAATGAGAAAGTAATTGAAAAAATTAACTGAAACTTCGATTTCAATTCGGATATGCACAATCCTTATGAAAATGGATATTGAAATGATCACGGATTCGAGATCTATCCAAATATGTTTATATTTTTGATTTTCCAACCCTACGATCGAGAATCCTAGTCGCACTGGAGGGTTGATGACGGTGTTATGTCCGCAGGTATTGCTATTGGCAAGCAGAGACTCAAACTCCGAATTTTGCAAAAATAAGGCTAAAAATTTGAAGGAAAGCCGAAACGAACTAGACCATTGGATTCGCCTTGACAATTGCTATCTAATGGTTCCAAACTCAAATCATTTAAACCATTTTTACAGCAGTTATGGCGAAGCGACGGATTGCGGCGGACTAGTGCGCTGAAATCTGTCGATTTACCAGAAATTAGGGGCGGTATTTGTACGAGTTCATAAGTGCGTCGAGCGGAACATGCTGAGAAGTATTGGAGAGGGGATGCAGTGGGGGGATGGGGGAAGGTGATAAGGCGTCAGAACGCCAAAATCGGGGTCGGGATGCGTGTGAGGGCGTTGGAGCCTTGCGCTGACACTAGAGCGTCCCTACTTACAAATTCTATTTGTAGTGGTACGTGCACATTGTATCATTGTATGACCAGCTTACTTAATAGCAGTCGATTGCATAAACTCAATCAAGTCTTCAGCAAATGATAAGTTTCATTTCTATCAAGAAAGCCCTAATCCTTTCGGGTTCTAAATAATGGTGAATGTAAATAAATGATAAGCCTTAGCTCCTCACTTATGTAAATAGGCATATTTCATTTTCATTTTGAGACTGACAGCAATCCTATTCACCGCTAAATTATCTGAATTCAAGAAGAATGCTGGATGTTTACAGTTGTGAGATAAATATGCCAGTTCAGCTCCAGACGTTATCACGCGTATTCTCGATGGACTTCAGCGAAACTGGGAAAGGTCTAACACATTCAATAGTGAGGTGGTTAATGGAGTACCTCATGCTGATATTCCATGGGTCTTCCAGTTTCGCTAAAGCCTGCCGTGTGATGCGCGCGATAGCGGGCGGAGCAAAACTGGTGCATTATACATGTTTTGGCGAAAGCCCTGGTTACAAGCATATCAGTAAGCAGCAATGTCAGCTACTGCTTTCCATTCTTACAAGTACGAGGTCCTTGCTCGTCTAAATGATCCTTCAGGCACTATTTGACAAACTAGCATATAACATCCACCTATAGTGTTGTTGTGAAAGGTCATTGGTGTACTTCTAGAGTAGAAGTCAATTCAATTCAAGCCTTCTTCTGTGAGGGTTATCCAAAACGCTGATCACTTTGTAGTATGTATGACCATCCTGGTGGGTTCCGGAGCTTATGACACTCGGCCCCATATATCTTCGGCTGAGTTCCCTTTCAAAAAACGAGAAGAGCGTCGGGTGCAGACCATACACCACAAGTGACGACGGCCTCCACAAAATGTAAATGTTTTCTGCCAATGAAATGATTAGCCTGTTGCAGTTGTATTCTATCAGTTGTCACTAATTACAACTATCATTTACCAAAAATCAGCTATCACTATGAACCACTACTAACCAGATTTACTTGGAGGCCGTCGTCACTTGTGGTGTATGGTCTGCACCCGACGCTTTTCTCGCTTTTGAAGGGGAGGGTAATTATAAAATTCAAATAGAAAAACTTATGCGAAAAAAACAAGTTAAGACTACATTGCACTTTTGCACATTTACACCAGCGTGAGAATTCGGGACGAAACCATACTGAAGTTCTGAAACCGTTATCTTTGAGGCTATCGATAGTCCTGATTATGAATGTGGCATCAACTTTCGGCTCTGTACACCACTTATACTGCATGAATCAGGTCGTGAACTGGAGCTCGAATATGGAGCCTTCCCAATAAGGGCCCACCACACTATCACTTATGCCTGAGTCACGAACATTCCCCCACCGACCCCTGGAAGTTGCATGCCCTTATCAGTGCTTACCATGGACGTCACTGCATTATGCAGCACCGCAGTTTACTTTACAGAGCGTAACCAACAAGGACCTTTCAATGTGCTCGTACTTACCAAGGCCTTTCAAGTATAACTCTCGTGAAAAACACTCCTGACTCGAGATTGCGCGCCGTCAAGGCCTCTGGCCTACTACTTACAGCGATGGGTTCGTTTCATCAGCTGGTCCCGCCCACCGCGGGATGTGGTGCGTGGCTGGCCTAACGTGTGAGATCAGCTAGGTTGATTGCCGTATCAACCGATGGAACGGCTGGCATATCCGGAAAACTCGTTTGGACGTGGCTCTCCCCCGAGCAAGCCTCCTTCACTGCTAGAAGGGAAGGGGTTTCGATTTCTGTCGTTCCACCTCCCATCTCTACACTCAATTTCAGGCGCCATAATGCCCAAACACGAGCCTGACTTTTGCCTTTAAAGATTTCATGATGTAAGCGCACATGCATAGGACCCAAAACTAAGGTTCTTCTTCCTGAGCGATGATAGGGCATCTATTACCACCCGTGGGTCCGTGGGTATCATTTCGGACCATCATCAATTGGAAATGCAAAACTCTGCCACCAGTAGGAACCGAGCCAAGAACCAGAACGTTTCTCGGCGTCCACAAGGCAGTTCACAAAAATGAAGCAGCCAGTGTGTTGGTACCTTTTTCATCTCCCTGCCGAGCCAGACTTCGATAAATTGGATCCGGAGGAAGGGGGGACATGGCAGTAGTTCGATCTGGAATTCTGTCATGCACCACATGTCATGGCGGCTCACTTCTCACAGTCCTCCTTTGCTCTATTCCCAAAGCATCTTTCTCTGAAACTCCACGTTCAAGGTGATTCACTGCAACAGATCATTCAATAGTTCATTTCGGTCATGCTATTCATTGAACTACAGCAGCTTTCAATAATACCCGCATTTACAATATCACTTTTGCTATAAACTCTGATATAAACAACTGATAACATATCACAAAGTGAACCAATGCATGGAATGAAGTTTTTTAGGCAATGATCTAGTGACAGTTCTGGCTCTCAAGTGGAATAGTCTATCCAGCCGTGGGAGATAGACCTTACTGGTAGTCTTCAATGGGTGGGCAAGTACAGACGAGGTTTCTGTCACCGTACTGATCGTCGACTCGACCGACTGTTGGCCACGACTTGTGATGGCACCATGGCTTCGGGAACGCCGCCATCTCCCTTGAATACGGTAGATCCCAATCGTCGGAAACCACCCTGGCCAAAGTGTGTGGAGCCATCTGAAACACGGTCGTTGAAAATAAATGTCAACCAGAAGCAATGCCGTCAGGTGAGTCCTAATATTATACACAAACAAGATAAAAATGGGCGCTAGAAGAGGGAAAACGAAAGTAGTGGGACAGAGCTTCTCAACCCCTATAGATGAATGCGCTATTTGTGCTTTATCAATCGATGCAATGCTGTCTAGCGCAATAGTCAGACGTTTGCGACGCCGCGATTTCGGCGACAAGATCCGACTCGGCCCTTAAGACTCGCTCGAATCCAAGCGATCGATAGCGTAGCGGTCGCTTCGCCAGTCACACGACATGGCTCGATCGGCTGGCACCGCAACGCGGACGAGAGGACGCTAGCGAATCGCTCGATTCGAGTCTGACGTCGGCCTAAGAGGTTACCTTGAGCGGGTTCTTCTGCCTGTCCAGTTCTCCCCTTTCAATCATCGCAATCTCTTCACGAATCGACAGCAGAGCGTCAACTAGTCGATCCATTTCTCCTAGAAATTTTGTCAATAGTAAAAGATTACTTGAAGGTTTTAGTCATTCGTTCAATCAAAAAGAACAGATAGCAACCTCATGGCAACTGCCACGCTTTTGTCTTTGTCGACAGCCCAGCAAACTAAATGTCAGTTATTCCAAACTGTCAACCCTTTATCAATTCACCACTTGCTAACTTTGCTACTAAGAAAATAGTCAAGCTTGGGCACGACAGAAACTCAAAATTGAAGGGGCAAGAACAAAGAAGTTCATTATGTAGGCCAATGCACAATCACTTGCATTTGCTATTCTAAAATGCCGAATCCATAGCGCACGGCCACTGATATCATAATTGTCACTTGAAAGTAGCGATCATGATGGCTGGAGATCTTTGCGATCTCGATGATGTCGTTGAAGCTTATTGACGGGTACCCCCCAGGAGGTCCGTCGCGCGGCAAGAAGGCAAAGACAGTGGACGAGTCACGGGCACACTAATAGGGATTTCGCGTCAACGTTAGCTGAGAGTGTCCCACTGCACGTCTCACATTGCACACCACGCGCTGCAACTCGTCCGTCCGACTCTGCCTTCTTGCCGCGCGACGGGCCTTCTTGGGGGTACCCCTTATTGATAGAAGGGCCTCGAAAGCGCGGTCCAACACATCACTCAGCGCGTTAAAGCGTCCAGTCCACGCAATCGACATTCAGCGGCGTCAAAAAAACACTGCTCTCCAACCATCGTGATCACTGCCTCTGATATTTTTTCCACTTCGACCTACCACTTTTCCTTTGTGATTTAGGATGAATACACGTTTCCTTTGCAATTAAAGATTGAATTTACACTGAAAAGGCAACCCGCTTCAAATTAAGTTCAAGGCAGGTTAGCCGGTAAAAAAAAAAAAAAAAAAAGAAAAAAAAAAAAAAAAAAAAAAAAAAAAAAAAAAAAAAAAAAAAAAAAAAAAAAAAAAAAAAAAAAAAAAAAAAAAAAAAAAAAAAAAAAAAAAAAAAAAAAAAAAAAAAAAAAAAAAAAAAAAAAAAAAAAAAAAAAAAAAAAAAAAAAAAAAAAATTTCCCCCCGATTGGGTTCCCCCTTTGATATGACCTCTCGTTGTGCCCTTTTCACGCTAATCTCTCTCTTGCTATATTGCTGAACAAGCAAACTGGCGCACAGCTGCGGGCCATGCTTAGACGCCAGAGGTCACCTAAGTAGTCTAACTGTCTCCCAACAGAGTCACCTGCATTTGGTTACAGTACCAACGGGGGTCGTATTTTGGGGGGCTTTGTTGAGCTCTGAGGGAGCATCGTGCTCTCTCGGTGGCCGCCAGTTGGGATTCTTTGATCATAATTACTTACGTTATTGGATATTTTCAGGAGAAAAAGAATCCAGTAGTATTTTCAAACAACTTATTGCGAATCGAGTATCAAGGTTAATAGCAAAAAATTCGTGGCATAAGTTGCTGACAAACTTATACAGAGGGTCTTATCAAATCGTCCTAGGGGGTCGTGAAAATTTTTCTATAAAGTACCAACGTAGGGTGACTTATGCTCCCAACCTAAGGCAATTTATACCCTTCTTTGACCTTTTGTTCTTATTTGTGGAGTCTCTTTGATGTGACGGCAACAATCGCTCAGATATCAGGGAAGGAATCACAATAAGCGCAGACAAGTAGTGCATGTGCATGGCTTTATAAAGTGCTGTTGCTACTACACAAGATTTCCTTTATCTTTCTCGAGAGGCTGAAAAAATGAACATCCTACACCAGGCTAGCAACAATTATCACCACATTCAGCTACATAGTATACTTATTGATCGTCTGATGTACCACTTCTCATTCGCAACATACCTTTGTCCTCAGACTCCGTAGGTTCAATCATCAAGCAGTCATGTACTGGCCATGACATTGTCGGTGAGTGGAATCTTGAACATTGAAACGTTACGGATATTTATTTCACAGAATTTTAAGGCGAGTTTCGGAAGCACAGCTGCAAAACAACCAACCCGTAATCCATCAGTCTCTTCGCAACATCCACAACTTCGATGCCGGCCGTCTTTTTGAATGGCTTGAAGTCAAGAATGAACTCATGAGCCACCAGTCCCTGCTCGTCTGAAAAAGCAAGTATGCTAAATGAGACTTTCTTCTTCTGACTGAATTCCTTTGCATGCCTTTGTACACGATACGGTAGGCTCCTTCCAGACGCCTGGCCATGTAGTTTGCGTTGAGAATCGCCATCTGGGAGGCTTTCTTCAGACCATTATGGCCCATCATACGAATATACGCCCACGTGATAGGCAATATGCTAAACAGTACAGGTTTATAACTGCGGTCCAAGATTTGACCGGTTTTGAAAATACCCAATCCGAATACGTTGCAATGAGATGGGTTCGTTATTATTACCGTAATATTCCTCATAAAATTGAGTTCCACAAATTCTAACAGAAACTGAATGAGATTATTAAACATGTATGAAAAACCTTGCCGATCCCCATGGTGCGCCGGCAACGGCGCCGTCATGTCGTCCGTCGACCGGAATCACTGGATGCCCAGGTAAGAATGGTGCCAAGTGCCTCTTCCTGAAAAATAGTAAAAATTATCCCCATGCGAATGCTGCTTCAGGAATAACCGGTAGAGAGCTTGTTCATCGTGTTTCTGAAATTGAAAACAAGAAGAATCTTGAGCAGTTCACTCCAAATTACAATCGATTTCTATTCGTTATTAATGTATCTGTCAAATACTTATGATAAGGTTTTGCTCATCAAATTGCGGTTACGTGCTTATTGATGCGTTCCCACTTTATCAGCTCGTTATCGCCCATGCGGTTATGTTGACGAAATTGCAGATGCCAAGTGGCCTGCTATTGAAAAAAGGAAACCAAAGCACGTGATTAGGACTCAGAAGAAGAACCCCCGCAGCTGCACTTCATTTGGTGCATTGATAGAGCTTACGGCAAGGAAACTCTGCGAACAGATGAGGTGAAAAAGTGAAAAAGTGACGAGAGAAGAGAGACTGCAGAGAAATGAGACTGAAGGCGTGTACCTCTTTTTTGCATTAATTCCAAAGCTTTGAGCTGGTGAAGAGGTTTCTATGTCCGCGCTAAGTTTTTCCAAGCCACAAATCCTGCTTATTCTGTGCGTTGCACACCAGGTTACGCTATGGAAGAAGATGTTCCTTGCCAATCATAGAATGTGTCCTTATGTTTGCTTTGGTTGCTAGCCACCCATCCACCATCAGCAAATGTGACTAGTGAAAATGGCCAAAAAATAGCCACTATTCCCTTGGATAACTGATGTTGTCTGCCAAAACTTACTGGCGCGCGCTAACAGTTCCCCCTGTTTTCTTGCCTATCAACGGCTGCCTCCTGTTTATGTTCGTCCTTTGGACGACTGATTTCACTTAGCTCGCTGTGCTCTCTTGCAGCTGAAAGGCATAAGGTAGAGCACGTAAATAGACTGGCTAGTTCCTTGGCCTAGCTCCATTCAAGACTTTGACTAGAATTGAACTCACACGCCTATGGGACCGATTCCTGGTCCACCACCACCGTGTGGAATACAGAACGTCTTGTGTAGGTTAAGGTGCGAAACATCACTGCCGTAGTCACCTGGACGGCACAGACCAACCTGAAATCCTATTAGCTTAATTTTATGAGAGCTATACCCCTTGCCATGTTTAGTATGAACATATTTTTGGATGTGTTTCTTGACGTTGATCTCGAATTTGCTCCCCGGAACTGTCAATCGCTTTTCTAAACGGAGTTATGAATTAAAATAGAGCAGCAGTAGTGGTCCAGGCTCACGGGTGAGAGGTCGTAGGACCGATTCTTTGACGGGTTTCCCTTTTCGGAAGAACGAGGAACGTGGTAGAAAAAGGCCCCGACTACCTGTCATGTCTACTGCTTGCTGCCGTATTCGCGTTGTGATTTTCACAGCCCGCAATGTCATTTCGTAGCGCAATGGCCCCGTGAACGGTAGGTTTGGGCTCGAATCCCGCGTGGGGCGAAACAACCGTTCATAATCCAGTAGGTTGCTCGTAAAAGGAGATAGCAAGGAGTTCCTATCAAGCTTGAGCGCTGCTTGCTAACGACTGCACATGGAGCTCTCAAAACCCTTGAGATTCGTTTTTGCAGCAGACAGGTGTGACAGGCGTGTTCCGGAGACAAAACATCCGTAGGGGCAAATTTGTAGCCAAATCAACCGTCAGAAAATCGATCTACGACCTCATGCCTGTGAGATCGTACCACTACACACGCCTCTATATTTTGCTTCATAACTGTGTTCATAAATCGACTGGCAGGACTTGAATGCAGATTCGAGATCAAGCGTCCAAAAGCACATTCAACAGCAGAAGCCTCGTTGCGGATGGCCTCTTCGATCCATCATCCTTTACTGGTAAATCGAACGTTGACAGCTCTCACTTCCTCACTGCTTCGTACATTTCAGCTTCAACTCCCCTAGAAGATAAGGCCGGTAAGGGAAGGAATTCCCGAGCGCGGCGACCTAGTTTAGATGCGATAACACTTGTGCAGTAACAGTGGGAAGGGTGTCGCAAAATTCGCAAGATCGCCCTCTGAATGGGAATCTTTCGAGTGCGCAGTGGCCTGCGGGCCGGGTTGACCGTTATGACCCCCATTAATCACTGTACTACGTAATCGCCACGGCGTACGTGCGGTGCCTGTTATTCGACAGCAAAATCACGATCCCTCCCAGGTACCATTCTTCTCTCTTCAACGGGCTCAACCTCTCGTCAACTCGACCCCTGCACAGCAACCCCGCAGAGCTCTTGGTCCCTAGAACTATTCCTGGATTTCCCTACAGTCCATTCGAAGTTATTCCTAGCACAGTTGATCTCTTGACGGGTCAGAGGTAGAAAACGACCTTACGTTACCTAACTCAGTTGATACACTTGATTTGACGTTAGGTTTATAATGAGTAGACCGTATAAAGATGCTTATGTTTATGTGCGTTCTTTACTGTAGGAGGGCGTACTCCTAGTTTGTGGTATTTAACAGTTCACTGATTTGAAATTGTGTCGGAAGGATGGTTATGGAATAGGTGTAATCAAGGGTTAAAGGCACGAGTCAGGCTTAGTGGACCAAACCAATCCCTTTTGTCGTCTTTGTGCATGGCTACGCACCCACAGAGACGTTACCATGCTCAGAATCCCAAACGGCGCCGTAATAAGGCTCCAGGGCACGTATTAAGCGCTTTCGCCGCCTGGCGGCGCTCCGACCGCCCACCTCCGGACGTGGTGCGTGGCTGGCATAACGTGTGAAATCAGCTAGGTTGATTGCCGTATCAACCGATAGAACGACTGACATCTCCAGAAAACTTGTTTGTACGTGCCTCTTTCCCAAGCCAGCCTCCTTCACTGCTAGTGGGAAAGAGGGTTTTGTTAACGCGTAAACGACGGTAGCATACATTATGCACCCGGACCGCGAATGCGGACGCGCCAAGATGCGCGACCGCATTTTTCTCAGCTTTTCTCCACTGTGTCGTGGCACTTTCGCATCTCTTACACTAAGTTTTCAATCGCCATAATACCCTTATTGAGCACGACTTTTGAATTTGAGGGTCATAGTTCACGTATCGATTAGGGTTGGACGCCCAAAAAAGTGGAGGTTGTTTGGAAGCACTTTGCCTCAAGGGTTTTTGGGAGTTGTGTCCCTCAAGGGGTTCGCGCTTAGGGAGCTCACGCGTTCCTTCAACTTACGTGGCGTAATCATCCTTCGGTCACCGATTCGCAACAAAGGGACTGCCAGCAAAGCTACTCATCCTCTTCCGAATATTTTAGAGTCACACTATGGTCTGAAACTTCGCGGAGCAAGAAAGTCTCGTTACCTGGGCGTTCATGTTCGCTCCGTCGAGATAAACTTGACCACCGTGTTCATGCACTTTATCGCACACGTCCCGAATCGACGACTCGAATACACCGTGTGTGGACGGGTAGGTGACCATAATGGCGGCTAACTCGTCTTTGTATATTTCGCGCCGCTGACATTCAACCTGTAAACCAATGGCGCATACATTATACGAAGTTATTCGACAATGCACAGCTACTCGGACTACGAATATGGAATAGCTCCATCCCATTCATGTGCAAGTTTATTAAGGTGGAACTGCACTGCTCCATTCCTGCTCACCTTTTCGGAAAGGTCCTTGAAGTTGATATTTCCGTGTTTGTCCGATTCCACAACAACAACCCTCATGTTCGCCATGTGGAGCTGAAGCAGGGTTGGTGCCGTGCGCCGAAGTAGGGATCAAGCATTGTACCTCCAGTGGGGTAGTTCTGGTATTTTGTAAAATTCTCAGCACTGATTTCAGGAGATACATCCCACATTCAAATTTTGTGAATGCTTGGATCCTTACAATAAAAGAAAACCGCTAGATTTTATCGAATCTCACGCACATTTCGCTGCTCTTGCCCGTTGTGGATGTGGTACTTTCGGATGGTAAGCAGACCAGCGTATTCACCATTAGCAACCAGAATTTGGTTGCAGACTGGAAGCAATGCAAAGTTCTAGTTGATGTCGTGAGAAACCCGGGTTACAAGAAATTCTTAATAAAGGATCACCTGAAATTGTTCGTATCCCGTGATCTCACACAGCCATCGCTTCCACATCGCTGAATATTCTCTGGAAACCAGCCGCTTGCGAAACTGGTGCGAACGGATGGAGACCGTTAAACGTCTCCCAGGTGATCGGCTAAAAAACGACAGAATTTCAAATAGAAACGAATTGTTTTTCTTTAACAGTTCATTAAGCGAACACTCTGACTCCGCAAAACGCTGTTATTAGTATGAGCGTTCACTTTTTCGCTTTTTCAGGTATTCGTGATTGACCACGTGTTCCCGTGCTATACTGTTACATTCTACAGTGGTAGTGGTAGTCCACAGGTGAGGGGGAGAGGCAAAAAAGACATTTTGCCCAGGTAGCACTTCATCGATTTTGCCGCCTCACCGCTGTTTGAAACTAAGTCTTACAGCAAACTTACTTCGAATGGTCCTTTTACAAACAGCCTCTCTCCATTACTACCTGACACCATCTTAGAATATGATGTTCATTCACCATGATGGCGTCGTCGACCTAGAGGGAACCTATGGTAATTGCTCCACCACCACTCTTACATAATTTTTTTTAAATAAATTTACCATTGGATAGCCTACTAGAGATGTTAGCCCTGTCATCGCAAACCCCGTCCAACTACCTCAGTTCATCGTACACGACCACCGTCGAAAACATCCATTGAGCTTGACCTTGCACCGTGTATATGTGCAGCATGTCTTGATTGTTGTTCACGCTGGCAAGGCCACATGGGAAGTACGCCTATTATGCAGAAATGGTGTACTTCGCACAAGTAATGACCAAATCTATTTAAATGTCGGCTACAAAATGCCATTTTTCTCATTGGCCCTCCTCAGTAAAGAGGAGGCACTGGTAAAGAGGAAACTTAGGAGGTACTGCTGGACTAATTGTTTTCCTCTTTTTAATCGTTATTTTTTTCCAAACTAAGTCTGCGGTTTTGTCTACGTGCTACCATTCTCTTGGTTCTTTGGTATGCCTCCAAGCGTAAGTATTGATTTAATTTCACAGAAATGCTGTGGGTATAGTGAAACGGACACTTCCGCCTTCAGATGAGACTCGGAACAGCAAAAACCCTTTTGCTTTTAATAATCAATTGATATGAGTAACCCAATCCGTAAACTACAGCTTAATGCTCTTGATAACTTCTCCATGTATATGTTCCCATAAATAAGGCTCACACCATTATTATTTCTGTATTCCAGTCATCTATTTCGGATAACGAGAAGAAAACCGAGTGCAGACTACACGCTATAAGAGACGACAGCCAAGAGAAAATAAGGCCCGTTTTTTTTGGACGTTCTTTGTCTGCGCACGTATATTTTACTGCAGACATATGGGATATTGTATGTACTTTTGATCACTAAATATAAAACTTCCAGCTTCATTTCACAAATATCATAGAGAAACCCCTTTAATTGGTGATTACGCTATAAAGGCGGCTTGGGCGTACGTGTTGGGAGTTTTAGACCCAAAGCGAATGCCATATTCGCGCTCAGGAGCCTTAGAAAGCATTTTGAGCTATATCTACTTCTAAAAAATCAAAGCCTAGTCATTCTCTAGTTTCGAAACGTGAGCAGTCTTGAGGAGAACAGTTCCAAAGGAACTGCCTAAATTAATGGAATCGTCCACGGAAAAATCGTGTACTACCTCACCCACGAACCACCGGCTTTAAACCCATCGTCAGCGATAAGAACGAAAAGAACAAAAAATGCATGCGTTTGATAAAGAATTTGAGAAAATGGCTATGTTCAAATTGCTCGCTGGACATCTTTACTGAACGAATGCTGATCGGTGGAAACACTTTCAATTAGCTGTCGAAATACTTGCATAGGGAACACTTTTGACCTCTTTGGCTATTGCCCCCACTAACATCTCACCCTTACTGCACCCATCGATTTGTTTTGCTTCTATTTCCACAGATCATACACTCAATTCGATTCCTTAAATGCCTTCGCCTGGCTATATTGGCACGCCCAGAGCGCATTCTTCCAGCGTCCCCTTGTCTCGCGCCAACCTACGCGACCATCATAGAGTGTGGTTTTCGTAGGTTTGCCCCCATTGGATACCGAAATGTTGTTGGTGAAACTTTGTGTATTGTCTCTAATGATCACATAGGACGGATTCACGTTGGGGAAAAAGCAAAAAGCTCCCGTAGGCCGTTTCTCCAAACGTTTAAGATCAAAAGATATAGGTTTTTCCGTTAAAATTGCTCACACTTGCTGTCCCTTCACGAGATTCAAAATCAATTTAGAAAAAGTTGGAAAGTAACTTAAAAGAACTTTTTTCGGAGATATTATGTAAAGTTGAAGAGGACTGGAAATGTTTCAAAGTGAATATTAAGGGCAACTGACAATAAGTTGTGAGCTGGCGTTAAGTTTCATTGTACACGATCCCAGCGGAATCATGGAGTGAGCCAGAGAGAGACGTCCTTATTCTCCAGTCGTTTGATATACCTAAAAATTCATATGTTACGGTCTCAATTGTGAATTATTAACTTTTATTATTGTGCTGTATATGGCCGGCATTACAGTAGACAAGATAAGAGAAAATCACTGCAGCTAGAAACAAATGTGTGAACGCCAATAAAATATTTATGGGAAAGCTGTCGAACAGAATGCAACACTACTTTTTGGAGAAGCAGCAGTGTGCTATAATTTTGGGTTGTCCCATGATTCCTGTCCAAATGTCGACACTTTCTTCTAAATGTTTGCATCTAATTTCAAAAAACCAATTGATCAAGAAGTATAAAAACTATCATCATCACTGGAGACGGCCATCTATTCGCTAGGAACTTCGGGGCATCCAATGGGTCAAGCTAGGACTCGAAAAGAATTGCGTCAGGTTTCGTTTTTCTGTGATGTGCATTCATTTGACTTTTTTCCCTTGGCCACTGCGCTGCTTCAAGACAGAACAAAGGGCGACAGTACCGATGGGTCATGCCACTGCCATATGATAGAGACTGTGACACTGTTTTGTCCAGCACTCCCCTGCGAAAATGGCGATTTTCTTTGATAGAAGTCGCGACATTCATCTGGAGAGACAAATGATTTTGAGAGCTCAGTCGGTCCTCTCCGCACTGCTTGCGCGCCAATCCCGCCTGTTCGCCAATACTTTTTGTATACAACTAAACGGTTATGAAAAACGGACGCCCACTCAGTCTAGCAAATCGAATAACAAACGGCCTCCTTACACGGAGTTAGAGCTGTGATTAGACGGTCAGATAGGCGTGCGTTGGATGCGTCGGCTCTGCGCAGGTTTCTGCAACAAACCCCTAGTAGTAGCGTCCGTGTGCACTTCCAATTCATGGCCCAAAGAGTCTTCATCGAAAGTGAGTGGAAGCCCAGAGTGAGAGAAAGTACATATAATCGTCCGCTGTTGTCATTGATCTACTCCTGAATAGTTACCCCGGTACGGGTTTGACCTTCCAAAACCTCCTGGCTAACGGTCTAGATGCACTCTTTGACATACCAACATATTTCGCAATGACACTAATTCGACTTGAAGAAATTTGAATTTGATCAAAAATCGGACAGGAATTATGGGACAACCCAATACATGAGCAAATCCCGGGAACTCATTGTCAGTGCTGTAGTTAGTACCAACGCCAGTTCATCAGCTTTAAAAAGCGTACCGTACAAGCTGCGCTTCACTATGGTAAGTGTTGAAGATCGGATGTTCCAAGTAACCGGTCGTTCTAGCGTGATGACTGTTACCAATAAGAGGAGAGGCTGTCTCTGGCACGATTTCCGCCACTTCTTGCTGAAAGACGACTAGTACCGAATAACGATTTTGTATGCACAATATCCCAGAAACTATGGGTGAAATCTGTGCCCAGCATCGATGCGTTCTTCTTTGTTTCCAAGATTATTTCAGTGAAAACTGACCTCAGACAGCTTTGTGCCTCCATTGAAAACGTAGAGTATGTCCAGAAGATCAGCTGGTTTTGTTGTCTCATCCAGCGATACTCCAATAGAGCCATCGGCAAAGTATCTGAATAACGAGTAAGTAGTAATCGGCAAGGATGTTATCTTTGCTTATTTTCAATGTACGCCTTCCTAGAGACGTGAACATTATACAGTACATAGTTTTGGCCTTACAGGTTTGTTATGACCGGGCCTTTTTTCAACCACTTTGCAGTTTTCGAAGGTCAGAAAGTCCACCGACACAACGAATGTGGTCTACATTTCAATCACTTTGACACACTCCACAAACCGGCTGCAGATAAACCTAAAGGCACACCGCACGCAGGAGTTAACTGGATTAATATCTTCAGTGGATGGAAAAGAGCAGTCAATGAAAGTCGCAGAGTTTGATTGTGAGGTGCCATTATCCTTCACCAGTAGTTATAAAGTAGCTGCCTCATGGTCACAAATGTCTCGGTTCATGACAAAATTTAGTAAGTTACCAAAAACGTTGACTTTAGCGAATATTCGTCTGAAATGGATGAGGTTTTTTTGCTCAGAGGCATCAGAGGCAGTCCTTCGGGTTCAGATGTTAGTGAAGGGCACTCATCTAGAGAGCCTAAACTTCTTAGCACAGGTAGGACATAATTGATCAACCGTCCTCGAATTCCATTGAGTTCCCATTGATATGTACGTTCACCACCCTCAAAAGTTTGCTCACAAGGGAAGGTCCCGCCGCCATGGCTATTCATAAAGAGATATAAACACCATTTGCTGATCTCAACTCTACCTTCCAAATCTGCTAAACGGTTCTCTGAACGAAGCCATGAAGGGAAACAACGCAACGGTAGTGGAAGGGCTCACAGTAAAATGTCTGGGATCCCTTATTATAATCACTGTTTTACATTCTTCAGGAATTTAGTTGAATAGGCTATTTAAAGCGTTGGCTGTATTCCTGAAGAATGGAAAACAGTAACACGATAAGGGACCGATCCTACGACGTTTTGACTGTGAATCCCGACCACTACCGTTGCGCTGTTTTGCTTCATAACTCCGTTCAGAGAATCGTTTAGCAGATTTGGAAGGTAGATTTGAGATCAGTTTGCACTGGATTGAATGGCCATGGCGACCTGAGCCTTTCCTTGTCAGTAATATGCAGTTTGCACTGGATCAGGTCCACTACGTAAGAACATCAGACTGGTGACTGAAATTATCTCTCACCTAAAGTTCATTTGCTTCTCTTCAGCCCTCTGTTTGAATGACGGCAGATCCTTGACATTAACTTTTAAGGTGTCGAAGAAGTCTTTGTGAGCGATGGAGTGACCGGCTTTGATCAGCTCTGAAATTGATTCGTCAAAAGATAAAAAGATCAAGCAAAAGGGAAATGAGTGCGCTGATTTTTTATTATGCACGAATCAGGAACAGTTAAGAAGCTTGATAAGAGCATAGGCAATCATAACCTGATTCCAGAAATGCTGTCGATTTGTGGATGGAACGCGCGATTTCACTGAGTCGTTTCGGTCCGTGATAGACTGCATACATGGCAGCCATATTAGCGAGAAGAGCCTGCAAATTGGGCTTCATGAATTTTTCGGAAGGAGACCTGGGAAACACAGGTGAGTAAGATGGGCCAGCAGTCGCAGAGGTTGTGCCGATTTTGCGGCATTAATTCTCGTAGAAGGGGGACTCGGACGACAT